CTTTTTCTTAGTCAAGAATGGGTTCTGACTGCTTTTTCAAAACTGTCTGAAGACTGTTTGATGGATTCGTTTAAAGCCTTAGTCTGAAGTTTATCATAATATTGAGTAACATAATAGCCTCTAATATGTAGTAGACATTGGCCACAAGCAGAAGAGGTAGGTTTACCACAATCAGAGCAAGGGATACGTTTTTTAGCTTTCCAATGGAATCGACATTCTTCAGTGCGAATACAAGCTCTCTCACAAGCCTCTCCAGAATTTTTAAGATAGAAGCAAAAATACTCACCAATTATCCTGCTATTTTTCTCACTAAATTCGAAAAAGATTAATAATAATTAGTTAATGCTTCAGTTTTGCAATACTTTTTTCCTTCCAGTCATAAATTCGAAAAAGATTAATAGTTATCTTATATAGTGTAAACTAAAAATATCTGGCTTCGAGAAGGAGAGATCAAAAAGTGATATATACTCTACATATATAATAATTAATTAATTAAAGAAAAAATTTTATAAACAAGTAAAAGTGCGACGATTAGAGTTAACACTATGGTTAAAAAAACAAGAAGCGATAAGAAAGTTAGAATCTGTAAACATTGTGGTCGTGAATGCTCAACACCTCAAAAACTTCGTGAGCATCTTAAGCGAAAAAATCCATACAAACTATTACAAGAAGCTAACTAACAACCCATTGAAGAGGATATTCAAAAACCTGTTCAAGTGGCTATCCAAGAACCTGTTCAAAAGAATAGAGACTATATTAGCCAGAAGGAGGCAGGCAAATAGGTTAACCCAAATACCTGAAAACCTGGTAAACATTTTAGAACATGGGGAACATGACTACAAAAAAGATGGAAAGAACTTGGTCTAGATGAATGTCTTAAAACAAAAAACTTGGATGACTGTATAACTCTCTGTTATGATCTTAAACAATATGATCCAGAAGTAGTTAGACCACCAACAAAAGAGGAATTAAAAGAAGAACATGAAAAAAGAAAATTAGAAAAGATTAAGAAGAGGCAAGAAAGACCAGAAAAAGACCTAGAGTTTAGAGAGCAAGAAGAGTTGGGAATGGCAGTTAAAAGAAGAGCTATAGCTGTACATCGTGCAAAAGTTCCTAAATCTTATCCAGATAATAGAAGCGATATACGGAAAATGTTAGAAAGCCAAAGAAAGCAATTTAGCGAAATACTTGAAAAGGAATTCGATAAGCGTGGACAATTTAAGTTCACTCTATGTTCTCTTACCAAATTTCTTATAGATAATAAACCTGAAAATAAAAAAAGAATTCATGAACTGACTGGCTTAGAAATACGCAAATTATAGTTTATAATAGAAATGAAATAGATGATTACTTAAGCAGTGCTTTC